TCTTGGGCTAGGTTACACTACACCCTGGTAGGAGAGTGAGGACTCAGCCCACAAATTTCCATTTCCCCTGCTAATTTCTATCCTATCAGTCTACAGAGAATAAGCAGAAAGAAAGAAGGCATTTGTAAGTCCCAAGTGCCACCTTCACTTTGGAAGGTCTCCTGGAAGGGACCTCAGATCCACATCTCCAGAAGACCCTAGCATTTCCCCATTACTCATAACTTCTGCCCTTTTCAGGGATGCATCATTCCATCCCTATTGCCATGAGGTATTATCATCACCTTTTTAAATATTTTTTTGTTTTTTAATTGGAGATGGACACAATACATTTTATTTATTTATTTTTATGTGATGGTTAGGCTTGAACCCAGTGCCTCACATGTACAAGGCAAGCACTCCACTACTGAGCTATAATCCCAACCCTTATCATCACCTTTTACAGGTGGAAAGAAAACTTGTCCCCATCCAAGGTAGGGGTCCAGGAATTAGGAACCCAGGTCCTGTGTGTAACTTCTGCAAGCACAATGATAAGTCACCACCATCTATAAAGTGGCCTGGGCACTGGGCACTGTTTCTGTCCCTTCTGAGAGGCCCCTAAGGCTGGCCACACATTCAAGGGCCCACAGCCACACCTTTTATGCTGAAATGGTACAAAGCCAGTTCCTATGTTAATAAACTTATCTTTTTAGATATTAAACCCATTACTTGTAAATGGTCACAAAAGTGGGTGCAGGAAGCTTTCAAAGCTATGTATATTAAGAAATGTTTACTAGGGCTGGGGATGTAGCTCAATGTTAGAGTTTGTGCTTAGCATGCTCAAGGTCCTATGTTCAATCCACAGCAACACCAAAAAGAGAGAGACAGTGGAAAGAAGATCAACAAAGTTTTCAATTAACTGTCCTTTTATCCACTAGGAGAGTTTAGAATAAATGATAGCCCTCTCTTGGTGATTCCTGAGGATTTGGACTGGCAGTGAAGTCTGTTTTCAGAAGTTACTTTCCCTGCTTCCTGAATATGCATTCCTTATCAGAGCCCCTGGAGCCTTGTATTGGGGTCTGATTTCTTATCTACTACTAGGGGAAGCTGAGTGGAAGGCAATGAAACCTACAGGGAAATCAAGGGCAGCTGGTGATAGCTAGCCAGTGCACCTGAGCTGGGTGGGCACAGATCAAAGCCTGAAGGTATCAAAAAATATCAAAGAGAGAAAACTGCTTCAACTCTTCTCCCTCCAGAGCCAGCATTGTCAAGGATACAAAGAACGTGGAAGGTGGAGGAGTATGGAATCTAAACAACACTACTTACAGGCTGGGGTTGTGGCTCAGGGGAAGAGTATGTGCCTTGCAAGTGTGAGACCCTGGGTTTGATCCTCAGCACCACATAAAAAAAAGTAAATAAATAAAAATAAAGTTATTGTGTCTATCTATAACTAACAATATTAAAAAAAAAAAAAGAACATACACCTGTATCCCTCCCATCAGTCACTGTCATCACTAGTCTAATACTTACCAAAATGCACTTTTCCCTCCCTAAATGCACTTTTCCTGTCTCCAAACTCTATTTTTAGCTCTGTGAAGAATATAGATGCAGGATGGAGTTGTGGCTCAACAGTAGAGCACGGGCAAGGCCCTGGGTTCAATCCTCAGCACCACATAAAAATAAATTAATTAATTAAACATATTTTAAAAAAAGAATATAGATGCATCCTCAAAAGCATCCATTTTCCTGGGGTAAGGAAACAAGACAGGAATTATTTAAGATTGACCAGAGGACATGGCTACTATTTTGCCTGGCATATAGTGAGATTTCTCCTACTTTCCAAGATATGCCAAAAGTCATAGGCATCAGAAAGCTGAGATTGTCTATTTTGATGTCTCTGCATGTGCATGTGAGTTTCTCTCTCTCTCTCTCTCTCTCTCTCACACACACACACACACACACACACACACACACACACACATTCATACACAGAGGCTGTGTATGAATACACATACTAATTAGTTTTTTGGTTTGTTTGTTTATGCAGTACTGGATATTGAATCCAGGGGTGAAATCTACCACGAGCTACATTCCAGCCCTTTTGTTTTTTGAGACAGGATCTTCCTAAATTGCTCCTGGTTGACCTCGAAGTTGATTCTCCTGTCTTAGCCTCCAAAGTAGCTGGATATGCCACCACACCCAGCAATGGGAGAGACTTGAAAAGACACAAGAGACTCAGGCAGAAAAAGCAGAAGTTAAGAGAGACACGTGCTGCTGTGTGCAACCCTAATACCACCATGGAGACCACCATGACAAGATAGCCCTTTTCAGCAATCAAGTCCTCTACACCAGGCTTTCACTTCTTGTTTTTTTTTTTTTTTTTTGTTTGTTTGTTTGTTTGTTTTTGTTTTTGTTTTTAAACAGTGCTAGGTGTTGAACCCAGGGCCTCCTGCATGCCAAGCAACAGCTCTACCACTGAGTTATATCTCTAGCCCCCCCTTACTATTCTCCCTTAATAAATTTAAACACAGAGACCCAGCAGGGCATGGTGGTGCATGCCTGTAATTCCAGTAACTCAAGAAGCTGAGGCAGGAGGATCATAAGCTCAAAATCAGCCTCAGCAACTTAGTGAGACTTTGTCTCAAAAGAAGAAATAAGAAGGGCTAGGGATGTGGCTCAGTGGTTAAGTGCCCCTGGGTTCAATCCCTCATATGAAAAAAATAAAATAAACACAGAGACCCAGAGAGGTTGAACCCCCCTCCAGTGTCACACATCTTGGAAGACGGGTCTCAGGTTCAAACTCTTACTACTTCAAAGCTATCAAACTCTACTTCCCACACTTGGGGAGAATGTCAGGGAACACCCAGAGATGTGAAAAAAGAAAGAGCAGGAGACAGACACCTAGAATGTCAGTGCCAAGAAGGCTCAGATCCACTCTTCAGGAGACTGGTGCCCAGAAAGGCCAAAAGCACAGCAAGGCAGCTGCCATAGGTGATAACAGGTGAAAGTGTCACTGTCATAACTGCTGAGGTACAGTCCTGACATCACCCTAGACTCCTTAATTTTCTTACCCATAAAGTGGGAATAATTAGAATATGTACCTCATAGGACACTTGTGAGCCATGAGATACACATGAAATATTATGTGAAATAAGCTCAAGGAAAGAGCTGGGCTGAGTAAGTACCAAACTCTCAGAGACTGTTTGGACACCTCTATACTATGCCCAGAGTGGAGGAGCACACAGGGGCACAGGTCATGAAGGCAGCAGCAGCCACAGCAGGCCTGGCCCACAGAGTTTGCCCTTAACTAGTGTGTGTACTTCTGTTTCTGAACACATGTGGTAGGCACAGAAGGGCCAGTTGAGAGTGCCCCCTCTACCTGTGCCTCAGCTGTTGGACTTCTTGCCCAGGAAGCCCTGCCACCTGCAGCTTCTGAGTCCCTGCAGATTGGAGCATTTATGGACATTTCATAATTTTTTCCACAAGTGTGCCAGCATCCTATTCAGACTGATCTATGCTTTTTTTCAATTATAAACATGTCTGAGAAATTTTTGGTGGGGGTGGGGTACCGGTACCAGGGATTGAACTCAGGGGCATTCAACTACTGAACCACAGCCCCAGCCCCTTTTTTAATTTTATTTTATTTAGAGATAGGGTCTCACTAAGTTGCTTAGTGCCTTGCTTTTGCTGAGGCTGGTTTTGAACTCACCATCCTCCTGCCTCAACCTCCTAAGACACTGGGCTTACAGGCATGCGTCACCATGTCAGTCTGGGGGATATTTTCAAGTTAGTATGCACAGAATTGCTTCAGTCTTTGCAGAGACTGCATGCTTAGGTAGAAAGTGTGCCTGTTTTTTCCATACCCTTGGTCATGAAATCTTGGGCAGAGGTCATAGACAGTGCCCAGGAGAAATCCCCATCTGTCCCCATCCTGCTGGGGGCCTCCCAGGGAGACAGAGAACCCCATGTCTCTGAATGAGAGATGCTTTTTACCGAGCCCAAAGGTTTCTCAGCCACTTAGTTCCCAAGGATACCTTACCAAGCCCAATTCTCTATTCCCAACTTCCCCTACCTTCCCTTGCCCTGTGCCCGCCCTGAGCCCTCTCATTGATGGCAACTCTCTCAGTCCCCAGTAAACACAGGGAGAAGTAATGTCAGCCCTCCAGCTTGCTTGATTCTGTGCAGAGTCTGATGAATCTCCTGGAGGAATCATGTAGACGGTGGGTCTGGGGTTCCTCCTACCTGGCATCTCTACTTTCAGAGTGTGCCTGCCCCTCCCAACCCCTCCCCCAACTCTGGGTCAATGGCCTGGTAGAGTGTTCTACTCATAGAGTCTCTGTGTTCTGTCCCAGTTCTGTCCTAGTGGAGTGGAGAGCATCCCCTCTCCAACTTCTACCAACAACTTATCCATGTGGCCTTTCCCAGCAAGTCCAGGCCAGAGACCTCCACTTCCTTTTCAGCCATCCCCTTTACCTTCTAGATAAATTGTCCCTCATTTGGCAAAGAAGAATCAGGTAGGAAGAACAGCAGAACAGAGGCCTGATGAGGTCATCTAAAGGCATGTGTGTGACAGGGTGAGTTTGGCCAGCAACAAATAGAGCCAACTGTCTTCCTCCTGGTACTGCACCCCCCTCCGCCCAACTCCACCCCACCTCTGTGAGGTAGGCAGTTTCTGATTATGACCAGAGTCATATGTTATGAGGGCCTGGTCAGAGGGGAAGCAATTCAAGGAGTATCCGTCAGCCCCAGCCCTCTCCATCCACGAACACCCAGTTCAAGTAAAAGCAATGAGACCACTGAGCAAATGGAGCCTCAAGACCAGTTCTCAACTTCTCAACCACTCTACTGTCCCCAGGACACCCACACACAGAAGCCTTGGAACCCCCCACCCCATGGCAACACCTGTCTGTCCCCTCAATCACACCCCTCTGGACCATCTTTTAGAATTTAGGTGAATTAAGGAAGCTGAATCCTCCAGAGAGGGTCTGAGTCCTAGCCCATCCCTCTCCCTTTCCCCCTCATACCTCAGCTCTGAGCAGGCCTGGGACCCCAGATGGCCGTGCTCTGGGTGTGGCAGGTGAGCTGTCTCCTTAAGATTAGCACATGGGGAGGGGTGGCTGCAGGAATCCAAGGAGTCTGACCAGTTCCCTCCAGCCTGCTGGTGTGTTGCCCTGGGCGGGGCCCCTGGGTTTAAAGAGCCGGAACCCACCTGGGCTGTCCATAGCCCAGCAGGCTCCTCAGAACTCTGTGCACCTGGCTCAGGTGAGCTCTCGGGTGAGCAAGCACTTGCTAGGATTTTGAAGCTGCTAGGTGGAGGGGGGATGACCTGGGACCCATGTTCATAAGGGATGGGGGGTGCGCCAGGAATTTGAGTTATGGTATAGAGCTTAGAGGTTTTGAGGTCGGAGGCTGTAGCAGCCTCCTGGAGCTTGATCGCTGTCTGGATGATGGGTTGGAGGCTGGAGGAAAGAGGAGCCAGCCTTTGGCTGAAGAATATATGAACTGGAGATAAGAGCCTAAAAGTTCAGAAACTTTGGCAGAAAAGGGTGGGGGGAGAGGCCAACGAAGGGCAAAAGAAAGCCAGATTCTCAGACTGGCCTAGCATGTAATGCACTCCCACCTACTGCATTCAGAAGCCATGCCAATAGTACCTCCTCCTAGGGTGAAAGGACCCACGTGTTTGTTTACATATATATGTATTATAACAGGTTTTCAGTGCTAGGCATATTTCTTAGGCTAGACAAATAGTAGTTCATTTCATTCCATCGTTATAACTTACAAGGTTGCTATTATTTACAGGACCCTGAAGCCCAGAGAAGCAACTTGCTGAGTCACAAAACTGGTAAGTGGCTCAGAGAGGACTCAAGCCCAGCCAGCTGGCCTGGGATCTGTGATCTCATTAGGAGGCCAAAGCTGGGCATAGCAGATAATAACAGTGGCTTCAGAACTGAGCCTGTGACACGAGCCTGCCGGTGGCTAACAATATGCAGAAAGCTGGGAAGGGCTTTATCTCAAGGACTCAGCCACCTTAGAGACAAATAAATGGGATTGTGGGTAGCAACTACCTGCCTGAGAAGGATCAGTGTCCCACCCTCAGTGGATCTTTCTAGACGATATCATCTACATCCTGAGAGTGGAATCTAGGGCTGCCTGGAGCAGAGATGGGGGGTTGGCTGAAAGAGGAGGTCCTCACTGCAGCAGTCCCTTTTCCTCAGAGATGAGTGGCTCACTCCTTTTTGCCCTTTTGCCCTAGGTGCTGGGATTCTAGGGCTGTCTGGGAACTCAGCCAGAGAGTTCCAGAGTTTGGCCACCCCAGCTCAGACCCTTGTGAATAGCCAGGGTCTGATAGTCAGCACCCTCCAACCCTGACTTGGAAGAACAGCCACCTGATCTTGGGCATCTTGTTTCCCCTTTCTGAATCGCCCCCCC